TCGTCGGCAACGAGAAGGTTCCCGCCACCTACGCGCGCGAGACCCTCGCGTCCTTCATCGTTGATTGCATTGCCAAGGATGGCGACACCAAGGAGAGGGTCAAGAACCTGCTGGCCACTGTCGATGCAGGCCAGACTCTCCCGAATACCCACAAGCTACGGGCGGCCCGCACGGTGGATCTGCTCTACGGCCCGGTGTGACGACCGACGGCGACTACGATTTCAATGGCTGGGCGTATGTGTTCTTTCTTCTACTTCCTCTCCTCCCTCTTCAAGTGGATTATACTCGGCATGCCCCACACGCCTGTCTATCAGTATAATTTTCCTTCAGTTCCCCGCACAGTTCCCCATGCAGTTCCGTTCCCGTACGTCATGAGTGTTCTCTTCTCACGGCTTATACTCATGGTTTGTATCGTGTTCATCAGTTTCGCGGTCTACGAATCTTCCATACCTCTTCCATTGGTGTACCTGAATGATGATTGGGATGGCCCATGCACCGCCAGCACTCCATCCTCGATGAGCGCGTCGTCGACCATCAACCTCAATCGCCGCTCCGAGGCTAAGGCTACTCAGCTCATATTCGATCTGGTGGACATGGAGACGTCCATCTACGATGGGAAGAGTGAGCAGGCCGTTTCAAGCTGGTTGCGACGGTCCGTGATCTGGACCGCCGAGCGTGTCTTTCGTTGAGCTTGGCGAGGTGCGAGGTGGAGAGAGGCGCCCCCCCACGGTGAGGGATGCAAGGTTGCCAACCTTCCACCCTGAGATTGGGGTCCACCTCCTCCTCCTCCCCCTCCCCCTCGAGTTCAGCTTCCATTCCATTGATTCCATATTGTTTCCCCCCTCTCCGCTGTCGCGCGCGCCTGCTGCCAAGTAGGCTCGAGCGCGTGTCTGCCCACCAGTGCTCACAGCAGCCACGCGGGCCGCAAGTCGAGCCCCCTTCGGTGAGAAACGAACGCCGTTCAGCCCCTCTTTCACCGCTCCCTAGACCTTCCTCCTCCTCCTCCTCCTCCTCCTCCCCCTCCTCCTCCTTTTCCCTCACTCCCTCCACCTCCCACATCCACACCCTCCGACCTTTCCACCTCCACCACCACCGTCCACACCCTCCGACCTCCGCGGAAGGCGCCGGAGAAGTCGTCGAAACTCGTGGAAGCCTCACGGGAGCCAAGGGTTCCCGCATAGATCGTCGCGAAAAAAGGGCGGAAGGTCCAGGGCGGAAGGTCCGGAATAATTACGGGGAGGGTCAAACCCCCGACGGACCCAAGAGGTCGTCGATTGGTTACCATGAGGCACCGACGGAACGTCAACAAACGGACCAGGCGCGCCCGACAGGACCCCGATATATTCATAGTTCCTTCGGGGCAACGAGGTCAACGCACCGTCCGTCGATGTCAGGCCCGCGGTCCACGGTAAACAAGTCTTCGAGGTTTGCTCTTCAGCTGGGCCGCCGAGCCCATGTCAACGACGATTCCGACGCAGGCCCGCTGACCTCATTTCTACCTTCTTCTTTGCCGTGACACCGTCCGGACCATAATCGGCTGCGGGCGAGAGGGGAAGTTAGAAGGAGAAGGCTGTCTCAAAGTTCCCTGGCCTTCTGAGAAGTTTCGAAGTGCTCCCGAAGACGCAGGGCACTTTTTCCAGAAGGCGCGAGGGCTTCTGATAAGTCCCGCCGCCTTTGCGAAGGCCTCCTTCTCACCCCCCCATCCTTCTGGACCTTCCGCCCTAACCTTCCGTTCCTTTCCCTATCTGATCTATGTGGGCGTCTCTGAAACGCGTGAGGCGTCCGCGAGTTTCGACGACTTCTCCCGCGCCTTCCGCGGAGGTCGGAGGGTGTGGAAGGTGGAGGTGGAGGAGGGAGGACTGCGTTTTTTCGCAGTGCTCGGCATTCAAGGGCCGTCGCCTGGCCCCGGGGCCGCCATGCGCTCCAGGACAACAACGATCCTTGGGAGGTGGTCCCTACCGAGGGACCCCACATACTTAATTTAAGTCTTATGTCTCTGCTTATGCGCAATCCTGCGTTCGGGGACCACCCCCTGCGCACCCCCTCTGGTGTCGAGACCTGCACGGGGGCCGTGTCAACAAGCGTGTGTGGAAGGTGGAGTTGGAGGCACTGCCCCCCCCCCATCGCTCGCCGCGGGCGAGGAGCCCGCGTGTGCGGGGGGGAGGTGGGCCGGGCGCTCTTCGCCGACGCGCTGAGCGAGAGCGCCCTCGGGGGCGCGGAGGCTCAGGCGCGCGGCGCGGCGCGGCCCGCGGCCGCGCGCTTCTTGCACGGGCCCTGGCGCGGGTCGTCCTTGCCCCCCTTCGAAGGGGGGGGGAGGAGGTGGCCGTCAGGGCCCCCGCCCCGTACTAAACGGCCGTTTGTCGATTTTAATAAGGAATAAATCTCGATTTTATTATTACAGCAGTGTGTTCCTGCAGTGGGAGAACGGTTTTAATTTGAATTAAATCTCTATACCACCTAACTCAATCTCTATACCCCGTACCGTACACTGCCGAAGCAATCACATGGACGGACGAAGGACACACACAGCCGAGCCGGAGTGGAAGCTCGAGGTCGGTTCGGGGAGGGTGCCCTAATGTTCTTCGTGTTCGTTGGGTGTTCTTGTGTATCTTGGGGGAGGCCATCCTCGAATGTTCATCAGTTTGGGCCGGCGAAGGGTCTCGTGTTCTTCTGGTCTCGGTCCGACTGCACCCATACACGCTGGTCGTTGAAAGTAGATTTTTGTTTTATTGTTAGATCCCGACCTTTTTTAGTCGCCTCCCTACCTCGAGAGTCGAGTTGTGTTCTCTCGTCCCTCCTCTTCAGGCGGCGGGCGGACGCCAAAATTTCTTCTAGCGCCTACTCACTTCATGCTTTTTCCGACTTCTTCCGACCGACGTGTACCCATAGAGTCAGCCCGCATAGTAAGGATGGTCAACCTTTGCAAGGGTACCCTTGCATCCTTGCCTCCTCGGTCCAGCCTTGGCCACTTTCGTCGGCCGCGCCTCGGGAAGCTTCGTCATGAGCGTCCAAGGCCCTTGCATCCTTTCGCGCATCCTTATGATACGGGCCGACTGTACCCCATACCGTATGCCCAAGAGCGGGGCCGGTGGGGGGAGAATTGGCTATGGGTGTGGGTGCGGGCGGTCGGACCCTCGGGGCAGGCTCCCAATGCGAGTGGGGGCCCTCGTCCGACAGCACGCGCCCATGAACCCCTTCCGTCCGTCCCCCTGTGGGTATGGGTTTGTGTTCTTCGTTCGTCTCGAGCAGCATTCCGGGAATTTCCAGCAGCTTCGGTGGCAACTCATGTGAGCCTCCTGTATTGTACCATCTTGTCAGCTCTTGCGAATCGACGCTAATCGACGCTAAATCGACGCTCATCGACGCTCAATCGACGCTAATCGACGCCAGCCGACGCTAAATCGGCGTTATCTTATCGACTCCAGACGGTGATCGACGGTAATCGACGCTAAAGACGGGAATTAAGAAGGTTCACCCGGCGCCCATGATTTGCCGCGGAAGCTCGAGGATAGTAGCGTGTCGCGGTCTGGGCCAGAAATTGCCAGATCGGCTGCCTTTCCCCAAGGGGGTGGCGCGAGGGCGCGAAGATCAGCGCCCGTGGCGCCCGATGCGCGAAGTTAAGTGAGGCCTGCACCCTCCCTCCAAAAGCACCTCCAGAGTATTCTCGAAGACCTCTGATCATCTCCCTCCCACCCAGAAGTCGGCCACTTCCCCGACCCCTCCCAGGGCGCGTCTCCAGTCCCAGAGACCTTCGACGCCTGTAGTTTTTCACAACTGTCCTGCGTTGTTGGGTTCTCGTTTTGAAGAGACAGCGCCCCTCGTCACAGGAAGGCCTCAGTGGTATGAACCGGGTACTGTCCCCGCCCGATTTCGGCACACCCCTCGTACGACGTTTCGTGACTCCGTATGTAGCTGCACCGAAGGCCTCACTGGCAGGGTCAGCATGCGCTACTCTCCCCATTTTGACAGATCTGCAGCATTTCTCGTGGTCACGGGAGCTCCACCGAAGGCCCCAAGGCAGGGTCCGCATGTGGAGCCCGCCCCATTTCGGCAGACCCCCCCCCACACGCTTCGTGGACTTATCAAGAGCTCCACCGAAGGCCTCAGTGGCAGCGTCCGCATGCGGTAACCGCCCAAGTTTGGCTGACCCTTCACACGTCTGGTGTCCGCATAGGCTGCACCTCAGCCCCCGGTGGGTGCGTCCACATGCGCCTTCCCGCCCATGTCGGCCGACCCGTCACACGCCTCGTGCCTCCATACAGAGATGCAGTCATTCGTAATGGCGAGGAGGACACAGAGGGATCTGTTGAGGTGGCGGAGGAGGTGGCGTAGCAAGGGGGGGGGTCCACGGGAAAGCTTTCAGAACGTTATCATATGTCGTGTTGTTCCAGCTTCTGGGGCCGCGGCCTGAGCAACGTTTGCTGTGGATGCAAGTCTCCGTCTTGCTCTTTGACGAGCACGTCTTATGCCTGGGGCCAGGATTTCGAGGCGAGCCCAGCTTAGGGGGGACAACAAATATCAATGACGCGCCGCCGTTGGGAGCCCGTCGGCATGTTGCTCTTCCTGTTTTTGCCCGAAGGTTTGATATTTCTCCATCTCGCTGACAGTAACACACCGATTGGCTATACCGCCACGGCGATGTGGCATTGACGCTGGCAGGCGTGCGTTGGCAGCGAGCCCCAGGCAGGCAACGGCGGCGTCCCCCCCCCCTCCCGAGGCCCAAAGGGGCCCCGCAAGAGCAACGAAAGGACATCAAGGTTGCAGACTCTCTGGCAAATGAAGCTATTGACCACTACGATTTATGTAGCCCCCACACACTTGGCTTACAACACTCTTGTGCTCGATGCTGCCCTTGTCTCTTGGAGTGCGCAGAGAACGAAGAAGTCCTTGACGCCCCTTTGTCAGTTGTTTTACCGTCGAAGGGTACGCAAGTGGAGAACCCATTTTGGACACTTAAAGAAGCTATTGATCGTGATATTCGTGGTGAGTTCTGCACTGTTATGCCTCACCGACTTCAGCTCGACCATAGCCACGACGTGTTGCAGAAGAGACAGTGCTTGGCTGATCGTCCCCTGCATGTTGCGGCTGCGCGCATGGACGCCCAGCGGACTTTGTGTGATTTGGCATTGGTTCCGAAGGAGAGCTTGGTCACTTGGCTCAACTTGCTAAGGCCGCTGGCGGTTATGTCTGTGCTTCCAAAGATGGTGGGCGGCGCCATTCTAGAATCTACCAAGGATAAGATTCATGACAGCGCTCCCTGGCAATTTGCTTATCGTGAAGGGCACAGCGTCATGGACATGGTGTTCATTATTATGATGATGGCTCAGAAGTGTATGCAAAGGGGGACTTGGTTTTGTTGCTGGTTCTGCTGATATTCCTAAGGCTCTTGATTTTGTATGCCATCTTCGCGTGCTCCAATCCATTCAAAGGCGAGGAGTACCAGATTTTATCGCTGCTTGGTTTCTCAGACACTTGCGTTCTATTCGATATAATGTTCACTTGGTGGGTGACACGGCTACCACGTCACCCATTACTCGCGGTGTTCCACAAGGGTCTGCTTGGGGGCCGGCTTTCTTCAAAACGGTGCTTACTGATTGTCTACACCCAGTATGGCAGAAGTGTGTGGCAGATCGACTTGGCATTGCGCTGCTGGATGTTGCTTACTGTGGTCATCGTTATTCCAAGTGGTGCAGAATGTGCAATTTCAAGTTTATTCCCTTTTTGGTTTGGAGTGACAATCTGTTCATGCTGGCCAACAGTATCGTGGATGCGCGTGATATATGGAAGAGATGTCGTGCAGCACTTGTTCTTTATGGTTGGGGCCTTCCTGAAGATCGTATCGTGCTCTTGGTGAACACTACCAAGGAAAACATCCCTGGTCCAAAATATGGCCTGCTGTTGAGATTATGCCGCATGATAAGGCGATGAAGATCACTGGCATATGGATGAATCCTCGTGGACAACTGGACCAAGATGTTCGCACTAAAACGCTCACGGCTACATCAGTGGTGGGATCTGTTCAGCACTTACTTTCTAGTCCGTCAAGCACTCGTATATCTAGATTTCGCTTGATTCACCGTACGGTATCATATTCGTGCTTATGGTGTTCACCAGTCTGGAATATATGCCGACGCGCGGCACTGGCTTTGCGTGCGGCTCAGACAAAACAATTTGCACGACACATACGCTGGCCTCGTCTACCAGAAGAAACTGATGAATCGTATTCTCGGTCGGTCAGGTCGCAGATTAAGAAAATCAAGATTGCTGAACACATCCAGGACCTAGATGTAATAGTATGGCGTCGTCTTCATAGGTATGCTGGCCATATCGCACGTAAAGCTCATCTGAATCCTGATTCTATTCTGGGTCATGTTCTGAACTGGAATTCTCACCAACACGCTGTAACTGAACAAAGAGAAGGTGAAAAAACAAGGTTTTCAGAAGTTTTCGTGGCAATGTGTCTGGGAATATCAATTGACTAGATTCTATTATCCTCGTCGTATTCACTGGATGGAATTGGCTCTAGATAGATATGCGTGGAAGGCGTATGAGGAGGAATATATCCTTTAGCGGCTGGGGGAATCTAAAGATCGTGCTAGTGTTTGAGGCTGAACTGAGGAGGAGTACATTTATGGAGTTTGGGAGAATCCAAGAATCGTGCTAGCGTATCTGATAACTTCTTGTACGAGGTTTACTTTGTCGTCGTCCTTGCCTGAGCTCCTGCCCTCTCTGCCCTCTCGCTCCGTTGCTGCGTTTAGAATAGTATGTCATGGTGGATGCCCCCCATCTCTTATAGCATGCCACCACCGCGGGGGGCAGGCGGAGCGCAGGAGGAGGGGGGGGGTGATGAAGGACGAGCAAGATTATGAGGTGGAGGAGTGCCGCCACCAGTATGGAAAACGATGAAGAGGAAGAGGCGGAAGAGGAGGGGGAGGACGCAGGATGAGGAGGGGAAAGGCGGCGGAGGAGGAGTCGCTAGGGTGATGTATCAGGATGGATGCTAAGGGCAGGAGGAAAGGGGAAAGGAAGCGGGCGGAGGAGGACGCAGGAGGGAGGAGGAATAGTGACGAAGGATGGAGGAGGAGGAAGGAGGACGAGCAGGGAGCAGTAGGCGTGATGATGGAGAGGAGAAGCAAGGAGTATGAGGACGGGAGGGCGGAAAGGAGGTGGGGGTCTCGAGGGGATGAGGAGGGCGAGAAGGAGGACATTAATTTCTCCCCATCCTCCTCTTCAGCCCACCCCTCCAGATTTCAATGTGACGACCACAGCGCCGACGACGCCGACAACGCGGACGCCGGCTCCGACGATGCCGACGACGACGACGCCGGCACCGACGACGAGTCGCCGACACCGACGGCGACACCGACGGCGAGTCGCAGACGGCGGCGGCGGCGGTGTCGCTGGAGGGTGCTACGGCGACGGCGGCGCCAGCGGCGGCGCTGCGCAGGGCGGCTGCGTGAGGGCGTCGTGCACTGGCGCCGCGGTGTCCTTCCTGTGGGGCGGCGCGCCCGACGAGGCGGCGATGGCGGCTGCGCAGGCGGCCTCGCCCCGCGTCGCCGTACGTAGTCGTCGTCGCCGTCGTCGTCGTCGTCATCGTCGTCGTCGTCGGTGTCCTCGTCCTCGTCCTCGTCGTCGTCGTCGTCGTCGACGTCGTCGGGGGTCGTCCTCGCCACCGGCGTCAACCGTCGCCGCCGTCGTCGTAAAGAACACGCACCTCGCCCCCTTCCACCTGGGGCTGAGCCGCAGACGCAGACGCAGAGTTCATTGATTTCGGCCTCCGAGGCCCGTTGTCGGGCCCAGGGCCCATCAACAATGTTTCCGGGACGAAGCCACCTCTGGGGAAGGGGGCGTGATTTTTGTGGCCGCGGATTGAAAAAAAACAAATCGGCGAATGTCTGGGGAGTTTCGGCTCCCAATTGCGAGGATGCCGTGCCGCGAAGTGGGCACAACAGGTATCCACCTGCCTGCGGCAAGTCAATCGCCTGCTTTGCTCGATACCCGCACATGGTTACAGCCCAGCCCGCGCCAGCCAGCGGCACGTACCAGGTGGTGTTTGTGCGAACGCAGTGGGCCATTCTGGCCGAACCTCGTCGTCAGTCTTTCGCTCTTCGACATCGATCCGTACCCCCTGCTCTCCTCCACGTCCGCCTCCTCCGCATCCTCCCGCTCCACCCGTTCCTCTCGCCCCTTCCCCCTCCCCCTCTGCTTCCTGCAGCTCCGTCTCCTTCAGCCGTGTTGCGCTCTATAGCTTTGATGGCACTCGATTCAAGATGGCACCTGGTGTCAGCGGGCCAATTTGATCGGAACCTTTCTGGTCTTTCATGTGGCGCCATTGTGGCAACGGCGGCGGCGGCAAAGGCCCAGGGGACTCCCTCTGGCCCGGCAGCCCACCTCGCCACGGCACCTGGCGCAGCACGGCGGCGGCAAGGGCGGAGGCTGTTCAGGCGGTGGGCTGCAGGAGCACTGGAGGTGTTTGCGTGTGTGTGTGTTGTGGGTGTGGCAAAACGTGGGTCATGGCAGCCTACTGTAGGCACCGCGGCGTTCAGCGGCAGTCCCCTACTCTTGCTCACCCTCCCGATCCCCGCGGTGCATGGTGTCGTCACTCGTGGCAGCATTTGGCTCCGGGCCCCGTCGCGCCTGGCACATGGCCAGCTCTCCCTGCAGGTCCTCTTCCCCTCGGCGGCGCTGCCCACGGAGGCGCTGGCGCTGCAGGTGGGAGCGTGTCAGGCCCACTGGGGTCTACCGAGCTGCAGATGCTGGTCCCCCTCGCCAAGCGTGACGGGGACGACGAAACCGGGAAAACGTACCAGTCCAAGATCGACGCCCACGCGGCGAAGTCCAAGCCTGCCCCGAAGCCTCTTCAAGATCAACTGTCGGACCTTCATCGGGACATCACGAAGATTGACGGCTAGATGGAATCACTGTTGGCCAAGTACAATCGGTGGGTGGAAGGTGTTCGCAAGGAGGAATTTCTCCAACGTGATCTGTCCAATTTGCACAGTGAGGTTTCCCCATCTGCGCAGCCCGCTCATGCTGCAGCGGCGTCAGGTCTTGCGCTGTCTCTTCGAAACCTCGTGGCGGGCAAGCTGGTGGGCATCACCATCGACGACGGCGGCCTATTCAGCGACCTCCCAGGCGACGCCGAATTGGAGCAGGCGGACATCGAGGTGGTCGAGAAGCGCCGCGCCCAGTTCAAGGATCACATGTCTAACGCAGCCAGGCTGGTCTTCAAAAGCGTCGTGGCCAGAGCGGAAGCGGTCAAGAAGGAACATGAGCAGTGCCCTAAGAGTATCGCAGACAAGCGGCGCCACGGCACAGATTGGTGCTTGGGGAGGTGTCGAAAGGGGCCGCCGCGTCGGACATGCCCAGCGACGCCGTGGACAACTTGGTCGAGGGGGCCGCTTCCGTGTCTGGCGCTGCGGCAGCAAATCGCGTTCGTGCCGAACTTGAACTCAGCGCCCAACGCGTCCATATCAAATCAGCAGGAGTTGGCGACCCTCCTGAACAGGCCGCTCCCCGGGGAAGGTCCTGAGCTCAAATGGGGGGTGCTCGCTTCGACAGGATCTGCTGAGATCTGAAGGCTCCACGCCTGCGCGTTTTTTTCTGTTGCGATACGTCAGATGCCTGGCAGAGAACTGGCCCGGCGTTTCCCTTCCCCCCCCGCTGCGCCCGACTCAGTGTCGGAATTGCATTCGGAACGCCACGTGATGAGGGTTCCCTCAGAGCGCAATGGCAGCCACCTCGCCGCATCCTGGCGCGCTGGACAGATGAAGTGCCATTCTTATGTTTTAGGCTGTCCGCGTCCGCTGAGGGCCCCCCTGGCCCCTTCCACCCTTCCCAGAGGCCGAATCGTTTGGCCTGGGCGTCGCCTCCGCGAACGCCAATTCCCGGGGTTCGGTGAAGGGCGGGCTTCCAAGCTCGAGTGCTGAGGTCATTCTGATTATGGAAAATATGTTGGTTTCCCAGTGGGCCCTGGGCATTCCTGCTGCCTCCTGCGCGAACCTCGGTTGCAGGAGTTTGTGGGCCCCGGCGGCCGTGGGCCCAGGAGGCGGCCTGTCGGCTGGGGCGGCTATCCTGCCTCGGCACATCCTTGGGCCAACCCTCCTGAGTCTGGCTTGGCCGCGGTGGCGCGCTGGGGCATTGCCGCCGAAGAGCGCGCCCCGAAATGCGAAGCATGGCCGTCGCGCGGCAGGGACTTCCTGGTCGGAGGCGACTGCGTCGTGGAACCGCCCACCCTCGCGGAGTCGAGCTCCCTTGGCCCGCTCGTCGGCTGGGCCACGCGCGCGGGGGAATCCGCGTGTCACACTGGAGCCGGGAAGGAGTGCGACTATATCGTCTTATCACCGGGGGTGTCGACGGCCGCCAGTGGGAG